TCCGCCCGGAACGGGACCGGCTGGGTTCCGCTCGGTGTTTCGGGCTCAGCTCCGCCCGGGACGGGACCGGCTCCGCTCCCTCCGCCGCCAGGGAAACGCGGAGGCTCCCGAGACCCGTCGGCGCTGGCGCTGCAGCGAGCCCGGTGCTAACGGTGCAGCTCTCAGGGGTGATGTTCCACAAAATCGTGTAATTGCTGAGGTGAGAAAAGCCCTCTGAGACCATCGAGTCCAGCGTTAACCCAGCACGGCCGAAGTCACCGCTAAACCATGTCCCCGAGTGCCACATCTTCTTCACGCAGTTCAATCCCAGCAGGGACGGGGCTCCAGCACTTCCCTGAGCAGCCTGTGCTAGTGCCCGCACACCCTCTGGTTGAAGAACTTTTTCCTAATATCCAGCCTAAACCTGACATGCCTTCATGCTGTTCCCTTGGTCCTCTCAGTTGTCACCAGAGAGAACAGCCCCTGCCCCTCCAACACCCTCATGAGGAAGCTGCAGAATGCAAGGAAGGCTGCATTCAGTGTTCTCCAGACTCAACAAACCAAGCAAAATAAAAATCAACATTTTAACTGCGCTAGGATCAGCAAAATATTGTATTTAGCAATATGCGATTGCTTCTAATAATTCACAGCACGTTAGAAAATACTGCTTTTTATAAAGGACAAAATAACTTAGAAATTCAGTTAATAAAGAAGGTTTTGGCTGTGCTGTTTGGTTTCTTGTAAGGTTTGGCTGCCTCGAAGAGCAGATCAGGAAGCAAAGACCAAGTTGTCCTTCGAATTCAAAGCACACAAGTCAGAGTATTAGATTAACCTGTTTATATAAACGGGAGCAGTTCCAAACGAATGGAAATTGGCATCGCTCCTCTGACAGCACCGAGGTGCTCATGGGCCACAGGAAAAGCTCAGACAAGTTAGAAACCACTCATTTTGCAGTGAAGCACTTACAGAACTCCCTTTTAGCATCTTTGAAAGGTGACTCATGACAGTGGCAACCATCTCTGTGGAGGTGCTGCTTTTAAAGAACAGGCACAATTCTTCAGCTGAGACCCTTCCACATTGGCATTTACACTCCATAACTGAGGCTGCAGCTGGAGGCCAACCTTTGTGTTGCAGAGCTACAAAAACGAGGTGTTCCTTTAGATTTCCATCGCAGCCTTAGGGCAACAGAGTAAAAAGCAGAAAAATTACCTTGCTGTAGGCTGCTGTCACTGCACCCTGTCAGACAGTAATTAAACATTCAATGGAAGCAAGATGTGGGAGAATAGGATTAATTTGAAAGCTCTTTCTCATTCTTTTTGTACCAAGGGTGAGATGCTAAAGCTCAGGGCTGGCACCAAGAAAGGTGATGCTGTTCGTTGTGAGCAACATGCCCAAGTCCAGCTTGCAAATCTGGCAGCTGATTTTCCATCATTAGCACATTCTTCAGAGAAAACAAGCCCTGGCAGAAAAGGGAGGAGAAGCAGAAACAGCAGATGCTTTTTGTGGAGCTGCCATCAGATGACCTAATGGCTGTGCTTCCCTTTGTCTCTCTTGAGTAAGCTATAAACAGTACCAAGATAATTTATAGCAATAAAATGGAAATGTTATCATCATTAGCTGAGAGATGTACCTGGATGATCTAATAAAGTCATCAATGTAGCATTAACAACATTGGACTTTATTTATTTTATTATTATTATGTTATTATCACTTTACTATTATTATTTTATTATTACTTCTATTAATTTGTTACAATTTGGACTTAAAATGTTTAGTACTATTCCTGTTAATGTAGAGAATCTAGTGATTCACAGCTTGTATTTTGGAAATTGCCTGCAACTGGGACAAGAATCACTGGTCATTTCCCTGCAGCACCTTTTCTTTTTAATTTCCACCCCCCACCCCAGCCCCAACACACCCTGCAAGTTGCCAAAGTTGTGCCTATAAGCCTGCAAGATCAAAAATGTGTTAAAAAAAAATATTAAAAATAGCCCAGTGTCTGCAAAGGGATCTCCTGCAGCCAAGTCTTTCCCAATCCACTACAACCTAAGGTAAGGACTGTCAGTCCCTTTCTGTTTGGGGACTTGATGTGGCACCTGGCAGCTCTGCCCAGTGGGTTTTGCTTCCCAAAGTGAATTTTTCAAGGAACAAACATAAACATCATAAGCAATCATGCTTATATAACTTTTTGCACTGGTGTTTCTGATCCCTGTATTTGAGCATTGCAGATGCAGATGTCCTTTTCAGCGTTCCCCCATATTTTTTGAAAATTGAGATAATTTTGCAGCATGTTTTGGAGGGAGCAGCTTCTCTTTTTTAATTGGAAGAACTGTACCTATTCAAAGAGGGCATTATTAGAGACCAAATCATCAATACTATGTTTTTAAAAGCGTAGGTCACACTTGCTCCACGAGGAATTCATTCTCTGATGGATTTATCACCTTCCTGAAAGATTCTCTGAAGAAAGTTCCTGCTCTGACACTCTTTGACTGTCTCCTCCCTTCTTTGTTCTCTTCCTTCTTTCTCCGATTACAGCTCCAAACCCAACAGCAATCTCCCGAGGTCAATGGTTAATATTCCCTGGTGTTTATATAGCTCCCAGCAGCAGGCTCCGGCCCTTCAGCACTGGGCCAGCTCCAGCACCATGGCTCTCTCCTGGCAGGCAGTGCTGGCCTGCAGGAAATACCTCATCATCACCCTGGTTCCCCTCATCTTCCTCCCTCTGCCTCTGCTCCTGCCCACCAAGGTAAGGAGTTTTTTTTTTCAAAAGCATCCACGTCTCACAGTTGCTCATTTCAAGGGTGAAGAGGATCTTTCTGCATGAAGATCTCTTTTCTTTTTTCTGAGTGTATTGGGGCAATGGAGCAGCAGTGGGGCTTAGATGGATGAGGAGCTACATCTGTGATTGCATCTTCTAGAGGAGCACTCAGTGATATGAGAGAGATTTTGGGACTCTTGCTTTGCATCTGGCTGATGTAGAAAAGGGCTTTATATGCTGAAGATACTCTTGTGGACCTAAAACTCAGTTTTAATCAATTTTCATTTCCTAACAGCGTTCAGTCCACATCTTCTTTTATTCTTTTCCTTGCTGTCACTGCTGCTTAGAAGATGCATTTTCATATAGATAAGACATTCTGATACATAAGGAAAAATAACATGCATTTCAGTCTTGCTCTAATTTATTTAAGAAGAATCTTCCCAAACAAGGATTTTATATTTAAAACACCAAGTTCTGGAAGACATCTGGCTTAAGGTTCCTCCAGGAAAAGTTGACTGAGGAGCTGCAGGATCTGGGTTGGTATTTCTGGGGCACTGATCATTTAAAAAAAGAGCTGTGAGCTGACAGACTCCCAGTCTTCTGCTGCTTCTTCACTGTTTCTTGCACTCCCAACCTCCTCATGCAGAAAGATCTAATCTCTGGTCACTTATTACAACCCCAGCACCACAAAATAGCTCGTCCCAAACTGCCTCTCCTGTCATTTCTCTTTAGACACCAAATCCTAACTCTTCCCCCTGGTCTCTGCCTCCCAATCCCTGCTGATTCCCAGTTTAGATTCCTTCTCCAAGTTCCATTCTCCACCTCCCTGACCCTTCCCTGCCTGTCCCAAAGCTCTGTCCTCCTCTCAGCTCTGTGTGGCAGCTGGGCAGGGGTGGCCTCTCATTCCCTCACTAGGTAAATAAAATATTTCAGATTATTACTTCAAATCTCACTAGGAAGGTGAAAAAAAAAAAAAAAAGAAAAAGTACCTTTTTTTGCTAGTTAACTTTCAGTAGGCAAAGGAGTTACTGAAGTGAAAAGAGATCAGGATCAACAAAGTTCTAAGGAGACAGAGAGTGATTTTTTTTTTTTTTTCTGTCCTGAGGCCACGAGTTCAAACTTGGTTACTGGAGGCATTGTTACACACAGTGAGTCCTTGCAGTTACCTGAGGAATGATTTGGCAGCCTTGGTTCAGTTGCTCTTTGAAAATTACTCTCTCTGATTGCTATGCAGTCAGCAACAAGACAAATACTGAAAACATCCTGGATTTTTCCCTTTGTGCTTAAGGAAACCTTTGAGAAGGGGTTTTTGGGGTTAAATTGTGCACTGTGCCACTGCTGAGCAGGAAAAGCTGGTGTCTCTGCACACAGTGGTGCGAGCCAGCAGCTGCAGGGTGGAATTTCACATTTTTTCTATTCTGTTCATCTATTAACCTGCCCTAAAATGACACAGCACTGGACACTGAGCTATTATAATTGAGAGCAAGCAATGCTAAAAATCTTGCTTAGAGGCAGACAAATGTCCTTCCAGGATGACTGACTTTGGGAAAACCCTTTCCTGTTCACAGCAGGATGGGAGACAATGGCACTGTGCCTATGAGATACATCCCAAACCTCTGCTAGGGTCTCTCAAAAGGCACCCATCTGTGTCTTTCAATAACAAAAATGGAGAAAAAGGATTGTCAAAAGGGCAAATTGCTCTCAGTGATCGGTGAGATGAATAATTTAAGGTTCTTCATGCTCTTGTTCATAAACAAGGCTCAAAAAGAAATATTTTTGTATCTTTGGGAATCTTAGATTTACGTCTTCAGCCTGGCTGCTTTGATAATTCACACCTAGACTGCTGTCATCTTCTTTCCTCCAGACTGCTCAGCTCCCTGCTCATCCTTTCCCTTCAGAGCTCTGTAAGCTCCACACCACGTTCACAATTCCTGAGCGTGTTCCCAAGCATCTCAAATCCAATCCTGCCACCCATTATTCCAGCTCCTTGGTTTAATCCTCTGTGATGCAGCCTCCAAGAGCATCACTAGAGTTTCATTCATAGGGAGCAGTATGTTTTAGTGGACATCCTTTATCCAAGACCACACATCTATGGTCTTCTTCCTTTGGCTTTGGTGTCTCCCACAGTTGTGCAAGTCCCAAACCACAGAAGACACCAAAACCTCCTCTTACATTCTTTCTCAGCCAAATCAAATGCCACCGTTGTGACAAGTAATTCTGAATGTGTTCTGTGTACAGGGACTGGCTTAAACATTTTTACATGAAATTTGGAGTGGTTGTCCAAAGCAGAACTAAATCAAGGTTTTCTCAGAAAAAGAGTGACGTGAAATAGGGCATCTCATTTTCTTCAAACAAACAAGACAAAGTCAGTGGAAGCTGAAATGATCTGTGACCAGTCTGCCAGGGAGCCTTTCAAAGTCTCTATTAAGCTAAAAATCCAGTGAAAGTTATAAAAGTATTCACAGTACAAGGAGTCCTTTCTTCAACAAAGAGACTTTAAGACTGAAATTAGCTGTGGCTCACCTGGGCCATGACCTGAAGCCCATGTGAAAACAGGTGGGGAAGCCTTCACTGGATCAGTAACTGATTCTACAACTCAAGGACATAAATACAGAAGAGAACACCATCAGCACAATCAAGAAGCCTATCCAGTGATTGCCAGGCCCTTATCATGAAAAGTCCAAAGTCGTGCACACCTCTTTTCCCCTGGTATGATTTTGCCCCTGCTGAAGGCCTCGTCTGCTCCTCAGCCTTCTGAGGAGATTCTGCAGTGTGGGTCGTGTTTAGGAGCTGCACAGGCCAGAGGCTGGGTGGGAGAGAAGCACAGGAAATAAACTTTTCTCCAATCCCTTTATCAGTGTCATTGTGAGGCTTTGGTTCAGCTCTGACTGTGTGTGCCCTTCCCCTGGCAGGAGGCTCTGTGTGGCTATGTGATCATAGTGATGGCACTTTTCTGGTGCACAGAAGCCCTGCCTTTGGCTGTCACAGCTCTCCTGCCCGTCCTGCTGTTCCCACTAATGAATATCATGGATTCAACAACAGTAAGAGATCTTGCTCCATGTATTAATCACTCGGCTGTTTTTATTCTGGGATTGTTCCCCAGGATTATATGATGACCATCATCATAATCATTATATTTGTATTATTGATATTATTATTATTGTATTTTAACTTAATTTTTATTTTTATTATTATTATTCTCTGTCTTCTCCATGGACTAGAACTTGCATGAGCCCAGAGTGAGCTCTGGGTGGAGCTGCTAATCTGAAATCAAAGCAAATTCCCCATTCAGATGCAACCCCCTGCTAATGCCTTCGGAATAAACTCCCTCAGGAGATGTCCCCTCTCTTGTGACTCTTCCCTCTCCCTTGTCCCACCCCACAGGTCTGCCAGGAGTACTTGAAGGACACCAACATGCTCTTTTTGGGGGGCCTGGTGATGGCCATTGCCATCGAGACCTGGAACCTGCACAAGCGAGTGGCTCTGAGGGTCCTGCTGATCACGGGTGTCAGGCCAGCCCTGTGAGTGACACTGGTGGGAATGCTCTGGGAAAAAGGATTTTATGGCATTAACCACCCCCCTCTGATGGGAATCTGCAAATCTTTCCCTGCAAACGCTTTCCTGCAGCCCAAGTGGGTTAGTGCCTGAGCAAGCCTTGCAAATGTTGAGGTGTTCCACACCTGACGTGCCTTTTTATTTATTTTATTTTTCATTCTAAAAGGCTTTTAGGTGGAAAAATAGCAACAAGGGGGTCAGTGCTGGCAAGAGAAGGGTGGTGCCAGGCTGCACAGCTTTGGACAGGCAGGAAAAACCCCAGCTGGAACACAGAGAACACGGGCTCTGCCTGCTGCTGATTGCACAGAGAAGAGAAAATATGAGCATGCTTGTCTGGAAAACAACAAATATTTGCCAGACTAGAACTTTAAGCTACACCACCCTGTTTAATCAGTTTCAGCTCATAAGAAGAGAGAATACTAAAGGAAATTACAAAGCAATAGAATAAAAATGCATGCAAGATAAACCCCTTTTCATCTCATATATAATCTACATCTCATCTAAAGAATAATTTTGAGACAAATAACAGAGTAATACTGAAACGAGGATTAGAATTTTAGATGAGTAAGAAGAGAATCTTAAATAATAGAGGTGGGATAAAATAACATGAGGAAAAACAAATATATCATCTTCCTTATGGCTTAAACTGGTTGCCATTTGGGATCAAATTCAGCTTGCAATTCCTCTTCAAAAGGAATTATAATGCATTAACATTTGTTATTGAGAAATATCTTCCTATGAAGGATGTGGGATAAGAAGGATCTGACTGGATAAACTGCTTGCTCCAACCTACCAGGTTCCACTTTCTTAGCCACAGGAATGTCAAAAAATCGGTTGAAAAAGAAAAATGAATGTTAAGTCTTAACTGTGTGGCTCACAAAGCAAATCAGGGCAGGAGGAAATGCTGGGTAGGGATTGCTGAGCATTCTCCAAACCCAGCGTTTGTAGCTGACTCTTGGTTAAAAAAAATAAATTAAATTAAAAATTAAGAAAAAAAAAAAAGAGCATTGCAAGGCTGAGTTCTGATCCAGCTTTTCCAAACCTTCTCATTTATTTCAGACTCCTGATGGGTTTCATGGTGGTGACAGCTTTCCTGTCCATGTGGATCAGCAACACAGCCACCACTGCCATGATGGTCCCCATAGCACAGGCGGTGATGGAGCAGCTGCACAAGTCAGAAACTGAGTCTGGCACCACTGGCCAAGTGCCTGAACACAACAACAAAGCCTTTGAGCTGCAGGAAAAGTCACCTGGCAGCTTCAAAGAACCAGAGGAAAAAGGTGAATGGGTTGGAGGTGGTTTTCAGGATGATGGAGGACGCCCTTTCTTCCATAACAGTTCCTAGTAAATCCTAAAAGAAGACTGTCCCCAAAGCATCCTCTCTGCACCACACAGCATTGATGAGGCCCTTCCATGAACCAGACAAAACCACAGTTTTTATTATTGTTATTATTATTCTGACTTGGCTGAAGTTAAATCAGAAACACAGAAAGGCTACAACTACTCAACAAACAGACAAAAAGTACAATTTCTCCACTAGGGGAAGCCTTTATATCCGGCTTGCTATTTCCCTGCATATTTATGTTAGTTCAATTATTATCTACTGTGTAACTTATCATATAATAGGGGATTCCCAAGGCAAAACTTCTGGCCTCTCTCCAGCAGGAAGGTTAGGGATTAAAATGATCTTTCTAATCCAAAGGTACACAATCAAGCAACAATATCTCTTTACCAGCTGTCTTGCTCTCTCCCCATTTTTGAGAGGATTCCAATGTTTCTGACCATAAATCTCAGTGCCAGCAGACAGGTGCTGGTTTTAGAAAAAGTTCCCTTTAGCCCAGCTCCTCCAACTCTGCTACAATTCCTTGAATACTTGCCTCACTCCCCTCCGTGTGCAGTTCAGACATCTCCCTCATTCACCAGGAAGTGTCAGCAGTAGGTTCAAACTTTAGCACACATTTCAAATTCCCCTCTGAAAAATTGCTCTGTGTCAAGACAACCAGTGAAAATGGGCAGAAGATCAAAAAATTAACAATGCCAGCCTTAAAATGAGGAACTTCGGTTCCTTCAGCTCTGAATCCATCGTGTTCTAGCCTTGAAATATTAAATTATGCAAGTGCAAGGCCTTCTCCTGTCCAATATAGCTCCTCCATCTCTTTTGTTCCTTGGGAATCTAGGTAATTCTCATGTCCTGACAGTCGAGGAAGAGAGGAAGAGAAATGAAGAGATTGAGAAGAAACACTTGAAGCTGTCCAAGGGAATGTCCCTCTGTATTTGTTACTCATCCAGCATTGGAGGGATCGCCACTCTGACTGGGACAACTCCAAACCTGGTGCTGCAAGGCCAAATTAATGAGTAAGTCTGGGATTACACACCCTCCAAACTGCAGCATTCTGACTCCCAGGCAGCACAGAGAAGGAAAATGTCAGTTTGGTCCCTTTCCTGGGAAGTGAGCTTCTCTTCCTTACTGGGCCCCACAGAACCTCCCCTTGTCTGACTCATTAATGAAGGACAGAAGAGAGTGTGGAATTTTGGATGCTAACAGCCACCTGCATTTTCCAGCATCTATAAAGACAACGGTGGCATCATCAACTTTGCCTCCTGGTTCTCCTTCGCCTTCCCCACCATGGTGGTGCTGCTGATTTTGGCGTGGATTTGGCTGCAGATCCTGTACCTGGGCTTCGAGTGAGTACCCCTGAGCCCCGGCCACCAGTGAGCCTTTGGCTGATGAGAAAAAAACTCACGGAGCAGGTGACAAGGTCCTGACCCACAACAGAGACCAGAACAGCACACTCAGTGCCTGTTAAAGTCCTGCAAGCTCTGCTCTGAGGAATCTGTCCAAGTCCCAGCTAAATTACTCTGCAGATGAAAACAGAGAGGCTCTGAGTGCCCATGACCTGTTCTGCAGCATTGCTGGCGTGTCCGAGGAGAATGCTGTGCTCCAAAGCAGGAAATGGATTTCCACAGAGAGCTGAAAATGCTTTTGTGACCAGGGTTGCTTCAGACCTAGAGGATTAGTTCTGTGCTAGTTCTGGTGCATATCACCCCACACAAGCAGCCTGCGTTGCCTGCCTGTTTAATACTCAGCTTTTCATGGTTGTAGTATCCCAGCTTCACTCATTTTACATGGAAAGAGTGCTGTCATGCTGAATTACGCCTGAAATGCTTTTTTCACCTTCAAAATTCTCATTTTGTGTCATTTTAAAAAGCTTGGCAACTCTTTACTTCCAAGCAAAGTGATCAAACAGCCTTGTCAATCACATTAACATTGTCCTGGTCTAGTAGAAGTTGTCCCTGCCCCTTCATTGGAATAAAATGGAATTTAGAGTCTCTTCCAACACAAACCATTCTGTGATTCTGTAATTTTTCTCCTCATATGCCCAGATATCTCACTTCTTTACATTTAAGTAATGAGCTTTTAGGGGCAGGAAGCTTTTTTCTGATCATCTTGTCAAGACATGCAGCTCCTACCCATCACGGTTGCAAATTATAATATATTTAATTTCAATATTCATATACAAATACATATAAAGACATTATAATTGAGTATAAAAATTGGATTCTTAACCCTCAGGATACCTGGCAAATTTCTCTGACATTTCTCATCCATTTTCTTCCAGTTTTAAGAAGAATTTTGGTTGTGGTGCCAGTCCTGCTGCCAAGGCTAAGGAGAAGCAGGCCTATGAAATCATCAAGGAAGAGAGCAAGAAACTGGGCAAAATGAACTTTGCAGAAATAGAAGTTTCAATCCTCTTCATTCTCCTGGTGGTGTTGTGGTTTACAAGAGAACCTGGGTTCATCCCGGGCTGGGCAACAGTTCTCTTCAACAAAGACAATAAAAGGTAGTGCCCCTTCTCCTCCTCACTTGGAAAATGAACCAGGCTGGATTTTCTCCAGCTGGAATCACAGCTGGCTAAATTCCTGACTGCTCTACTGCAGCTATGTCACCGATGCTACTGTCGCCCTCTTCATTGCACTGCTGCTCTTCATCCTCCCCTCTGGCTTTTCCAACCAGGACAGAGACCAAGAGCAAACAGGTGAGTCACTGAAGCCCCAAAAAAATCGGCTCTCTGAATGGGTTTGTGGGAAACTTTCACATTTTGGGTTTACAAAGGAAATTTCAAATATCAAACAGCACTTCAAAACTGCTCCTCCAGCTGTGTGCTTTAGGTTTGGCAAAGCACATATCACATAAAATTCTCTGTTTCTCATAATTTAATTAAGAAACTCATCAACTAATTAGGAAACTCTTATCCCAGCAGTGTTCCTGCCCCTGCTGTACACATTTGTAAAGGATTCTGAGCTGGAATCTCCAGGAGGGAACACACAACAGAAACACGGAGTTGCTGCCACACCTTTAACTCCCCTTCCCTGCCTCCTACTGTGCTCAGAGCAGCCACAGATCATTCATTAGAGCTTTTGCAAGTCAAGTTTTAAACCCATCGTTGATGGTGCTCCCGGCGTTTGCTTCGGGCAATAATTCTAGAATTTGCTGGCAGAAGGGATTCCTGACCTTCAGACCAGACCCACCTCCCACCAAGAAGTTCTCCTTTCTTCGGAGAGCGCAAAATCTTCACCAAAAAAATCTCTTTTGGGTTCCAGGGGGCAGGGCAAAGTTCCGGGCACCTCCACCCCTCCTGGGCTGGAAGGTCGTGCAGGAGAAGATGCCGTGGAACATCGTGTTCCTGCTGGGAGGTGGCTTCGCCTTGGCCAAAGGCAGCGAGGTAACATTCCTCAGCTAACCTTGGATTTGTGTTTTCCTGGCTGGATCCTTCTCCATCCTGCTCTTGGTGCTCTCCCAGGACACAAGAGGGCACACCAGGAGCACCAAAAGCTCCTTCTCCCATCTCCTGGTGGTGGGACAGTCCTTGGAGTGCTGGCATCAAACCTTTGTTGTCCCCCCAGCCAGGGCAGCACCATTGACTGTGCTCCTAGAAAAGTGGCTGATTAAGAAACTGCCCCGACACATTAAAGGTTCTTTTAAATAAAATGTAATTGATGCAGCCTGCATGACGAGATTATTTAATCCAGGAGGGGTCTCCAAAGTATTTCAAACCAAGGATTTATGGAAATAGGATTTAAATTCAACTATTAGAAGAGAGATGTAGAGCTTGCTAGAGAAACTTCAGGAGCAGGTAAAAAACATCTGCAGGAACGAGTCCAGTGCTACACATTATTTTCCAGTAACGATTCAAGTGATGGAACAGACAAACTATTTATTAAATCTAGAGACAATAAAGAAATTCTAAAAGGCTTCAAGTGCCTAGAAATACTAGTTTAGAATTCAAAGATCGACATTAAAATGGAAAAGTACATGTTTGGAAAAGAAAATATTTAGGAAATTACTTTAATTTATCCTAGAATAAATAACCAAATACATAAAAGCTGCTGCAGAAAGCCCAGAATGACAGGGGCGATGCTGCTACTTCCCAGTGACTGACAAGGATGAAGGGTGTGAAAAGATTCAGACAGTTATCAAGATCTCAGACAATGTGATGAAATTACATTAAATCACTGCATCATCTGACAAGATAGATAGATAGATAGATAGATAGATAGATTAGAAAATTAATTTAGATACCTTTGCCTTTATAAAAATTTGATTCAAATATTGATCATGTCCAAGTAATGATCTGAACAGAGAAATAATTATTTGCTGTCAATAATGCAATGTAAATGCAGGATCTCCTACATTCCAATTCCTTGGATGGGAAATAATGTTGAAAATTTTTTTTGTTTGTTTGTTTAACTTTCTGAACGATCCTGTCTGTGAGCACTGGCTGTGTTTTCCTGCACTTTGCATGAGAACTGCTCTGAGAAGGGAGGGCTGAATTGGCATGAGGACTGCAACGGAGCATTGATGTGGCTCTTCCCTCTCCAGCCTGGCATCCCTGTCTGCTCTCTTGCAGAAGTCTGGTCTGTCTGCGTGGCTGGGCACCAAACTGACCCCTCTGCAGAGCATCCCTCACCCAGCCATTGCCTTCCTGCTGTGCCTCCTCATCGCCACCTTCACCGAGTGCACCAGCAACGTGGCCACCACCACCCTCTTCCTCCCCATTCTGGCTTCAATGGTGAGTCCCAGCATGTTAAAATACTCTTGTAAGGACAGTTTCCAGCTCCTCAGTTGTCAAAACTGGCTGGCAAAGGCAAGCACTGGTTCCTGTATCCCATCTGGGGTACCAGACCTAAACCAAAAATCTGTGTGTGCATATACGAACACACGCCGTGCTTAGTTCAACCTTTCTAAAATCATTGCTGGTGAAAAGCAAAGGGATTAAATTCATTGGCATATGAAGACTTCACCTTCTGGCCTAAACATGAGGTCACTGCCAGCTGTACTTGTTTTTTCCCAATTTGTTCTGCACGGAGAACATTTCCTTGCCTGCACCATCCCATGACTGTGTTTCACCACCACCAAGGCCTTCCAGAAGTCTCTGCAGGAGACAGCATGACCTAATTCATACTTCTGCATTTCCACAGGAGATTCCTGTTGCTGGGGTAAGACAGAGTTCTGCAAACTGGTTCCAGACAGAAACTGGAATGAGCTCCTCCAAAATCTTTTTGCATAGACCACAGACTCCAGCCAGCCCCTAAACCAAAGCTCTCACCTCCAGAGCTTCACCTGCCTCCCCTGATAATTTAATTTTGTTCTTAACCAATTCAAAGCCAGGGTTTAGAGCTGAATATAATCATTATTTATCCATTTCTACAGCAGCAACACAAAGCCCTGACCACAAAATCAATTCTTGCATTTGCTGTGTAAAGACTCTGGAAGTGTCTAAAGCAGCACCAAAATATGAGTGGCTGCAGCGTTTGGGGAAGAATGAGGCTTCTGACATGGACAAATACAATCAGATTTCTGCCAGAAGGTTTCTGTGCATTTCTGGGTGTCAAACCCATCATCTCTGCTCTCTTTTTGTGCCCAGGCTGAAGCAATTTGCCTCAACCCTCTCTATGTCATGCTGCCCTGCACACTCTCTGCATCGCTGGCCTTCATGCTCCCCGTGGCAACTCCTCCCAATGCCATTGTCTTCTCTTATGGACAGCTCAGGGTTATTGATATGGTGAGTTAAAAAAAAACAACACTTTCTTTCCAGAATTTTCACCCCTAGGTTTGAGCTTTCCTTTTCCTAATGTTGGTTCTTCTTGGGGGAGCATTAGAAAAGTCAGTGTGCCCGGTTTATGTCAAGTGGAAAGAAGATGTGTGTGCATTAATAAAGGGTTACACTGTCTCCAATACACTCTGAGACTGTTAGAAAGGTGCTAATGAGCCTTTAAAGAACAGCCAGGGCTTCGTGAAGATTTTATAATAAGAACTGTCAATGTCTAACTGCTTGAAAAACTCAAATGTACAGCAGGAGGGTGTCCAAGAGCCCTGTCACCTGAGCAGTCCTTCTGCAGGGACAGGGAATAACCTGGCACATATGAGTGCCCTGATGCCTCAAGAAGTCATTAAAGTTATCAAGAGACAGCAGTGCCAAGTATCTTGGTAATTTATAATTGACTTATAACTTAAATGTCTCTTCCCTAACTTATAATTGATCCAAGAAGAAGCCCAAAGTAACATTAGAGAGAAATACCAGGTCAGAATAAAGGATTAAGAGGACTTTGGGACTTCTAATTTTAAGAGTTTTATCCAATGGAAACCTTTCCCTTTATACAAATGATATTTGTGAAGAAAACCAACTTGAATATAATTTGGTGGAGGTATGAAAAGAACGCCAAAGAGAAAATCAAACCATGCAAACCATCAAGGAAAGAAAAAAGCGCTCAGGGATGCTAACAACACTTCTCTTTTCTAATTCTAGGCCAAAGCTGGGTTTGTACTCAACATTCTGGGAGTTCTGACCATAACTCTGGCCATCAACACCTGGACTTCATCCCTGTTCCAGCTGCAGACGTTCCCATCGTGGGCAAACAGGACAGGGAGCTGCCTGTGACGTGGGGAGCAGGCAGAAGCAGGAGTGCTCTGCCCAGCTGCAGGGAGAGCAGGGCTGCACCCACAGCAGAGCCAGGAGAACAGCCTGTCCCGTGGGGAAGGACCACCAAAACCCTCCCAATGCTGACAGCAGCAAAACCGCCCGGCTGCTGTTGGTTTTGTCACCCCAGCAGGAGGACAAGGTGATTTTTGGCTTTCCGGTCCCCCCACCTTTAGATTTTCTGCCTCTGCAGGGGTGTTTGCCCACAGTTGCTTTTCCAGTAAGTCTGAAATCTGCAGCGAGACAGCAAGAGAGAACTGTGAATACAGAAAAGGAAGGAGAGAGAGACCCTGAGCTCCTGATTCCACGCACAGATCTGTGCTGCCACAGCTCTCCCCCTGTACCTGTGTAAATGTTCAAGGTGTACATGGTTGATATATCCTCTGTGGGCACTGACAGCAAGCTGTGTGTTGTGTGATCACGGAAAAACCACTGTCAGCCCCTCCTATTTTGAAATATATTTATTTGCAGTCCCCTTGTTAGGAATGTAAAAGATTAAATTTCTCCCAGAACATCCACCCCAGAGGTATTTATGTATTTAAGTTCATAATAAGTTCATAATAAGACCATGCCTTGAAAAGGAGAGAATCCCTGTGTGCTAAAATATAAATCATTGAATTAAAGGGTTTTTTATAATGTACCCCTGTGTCCTAGAGTTTGGTTTTTTTAGTATAAATCACTGCTTCTCTCTTCCAGGTATCAACTGCTTGTTCGTGTTCTCACATAATATCTTTAAATGATTAGAGACATCAGCATCGTTGATTTTCTCTTATCTTTAAAGTAGTAATTATGTTGTTATTATTACTGAGTCAAATTTTCTTGGCCTGTGCAGCCCAAGATTTTCCTTTATAAAAGCCCATCATGTAATCCTGTTTCATATCTAATCCCTATTCTGCTGGAGCTGACTTTCAGAAGCAGATAAATTCCTAATGACCAAACTGACAAATATCCAAAAGCACTTTGCCAGATCTCTTGGTGCCATAAATGAGGTTGGGTTCACACAGAGCAGTTACTCAATGTGTGCCCCTGAAGTTTGCTCTGAAACCTTTGTTCTGTTGTTACCTGCTTCAATTTTGCACAAAGTGCATTTCTGAAATCCCAGTCTGGTGGGATCTCCATACTGGCTCCATGAGAGTGAAAAGGAGGGAATTTCACTCTAAAACAGTATGTTCTCATTAAAATATTTCTTTTTTCTTTCTCTACCCTAATTATGAGGAGATGAGGGCAGCGTACAGTGTCATTTTGATTCAGAAAATGTCCAAATTCACTGACTTGCAGTGGTTTTTTTCCACTTCCAAAGATCCAGATAATTCTGGGGTCTGCTGGTCATTGATTCCTCAGCACTGATGGTTCCAGTGGTTGTGGAAATCACTGTCTTGGAAAGAACAGCCTGGTGTAAATCCTCCTGTGGCTTTGACAGTGTTTTAATTTGATGTCAGATAGAGATCCAGCAGAATATCCACAGCTCCAGAAGGAAAGGCATTTATCCTCTGTTGCTAATGAGTTCCTGGGTAACAGATTTCAGTCACATAATGACTTGCCCAGGTCACTGCTACACCACTCTCCTTTCCCTTTGCGTTTACCTCTATCAAATAACACCCAAATCTCTCTAAATGTTTTCATTGCCCTGCTCACCCTCTGTCTGAGGACTTAAAAATGACAAACTGGAGCAGATGATTTGCTGAGAGCCTCTCCCTTCTCCCTCCCTTTGTCTCCAGCATCAGGGCAGTGTGCTCTGCTTTTGTTTGCTTTTTGTTTTCTTTGAAATACTCCGTAGACTTTACATGTCCTCCTAAATTACTGCTTAGCTAAGCAGGAAAGGTGGAATTCTTATAACATTTCCCGTCGGCCTCTCCTTCCAGCCCTTTTAAAACTGTGTTATGGTTCTTTGAAGTCTTTTCTATTAGTCTACATTATTCAGAGGCTGTGGTGTGCATAAAGTACCTGCAGGAGCACAGGTGCAATCTTTATGCCAATCTCAAGAAGAAAG